ATAGACGAGGAACAGTTGTTCTAAACTAATCGGCATTCTCTCCTGGCAGCAAAGAGGTTTTAGCTCAGAAGGTATGGCGAAAGCCAACAACAGCAGGATTTCCAATGCTGGAATCATTTTTATCAGAACTAAAGAGCTTTCTTTATCAAATCATCCTCTTACAGTATATTGACCCGCTTTGACTTGAACACTGGCTCACTGCAAACACTGCTGCAGTTTCAGAGACAGTGGGAATGACTGTCAATTTTCTCCTTTCTATGAATTCTCTTGATTTTTTTATTTTTTTTTTATTTACCAAACAGATGTGTAACCAATCGTGTGGCGCATCACATGTCTTCAACAAAGAACAATAAGCTCTTATTTCAGTCTAATAGAGCATCTTGTTCAACACAGGACTGGTGTTATTTTGGGAGAAGGTTTTAGTTAAGTATATGATGAGGAAATTTGCTCATAAAACTTTGACGTAAGCCTATGTAATGGCATTATGAGGGTAACTTTCAATTAAAAAAAGATTTTCCCATCATTTGAAGTAATATTTGTTTGTTTGGTGTTTTTCTTTTTTTTTAACCTGAGAGGGAAGAAGCTTTATAAAGCTGATTTTTTTTATGTAAATACACAGATAACTTTCAAAACACACATACACACATCACACATAATCCTCCCCATGCACATACACACCCACAGAAGAAATGAAGAAATGCTTGCACAACAGAAAGGCCCACGGAAGTTCCCATATTCTGGTGGATTGCCCTTGGGTCCGTGCTATTTCTGCAGGGGGCAGGGGGATCCTGTATCAGTAATCCTGTCAGGATGAGGTCGCCGGATGCAGCCCAAGTCCATTGCCTTTATCCTCTTAACACATATGCATAGAGAAACACCCAGAGAAAATAATCAAAAGTATGTGTCGCTAAGTAGTATGTGAATCATAATTTAGACAGCTTTTTAGATGACAAAAAAAACCAAATACTTTTTTAAATCTGTTTTTGTTTGTTTTCCTTTTTTATTCGAAAAATGTGTTTTTCTTTTCTCCGTCTTTTTGACATTGTGTAAGGTCCCCACCTCCACCATTACCACCTTCTGCCTCTTTTGAAATTGTGGGAAATGAAGAAGCTGTTGATTCTGAGAGGAAACACTCAAAGCGTAAAGAAGAGTCGGTCACTGTCTGGTTTGTCTGTCTACGTCTGTGTGTCAAATGCACTTCTGACAAAGCTGACTTCCTGAGTTGCTGCTTTGTTCAACAATCTGGTAAACACACACACGCACATGCTTATAAACCTTGTGACCTCTCCCTGCACCCATAGTGATCCATTTTATCTTAGATTCAGAGACAGACTCATACATCCACTCCAACATCCCCCATGTAGTACAGCTCTGCCCATGAAAGAAGGATATGGATGCCCATTTAACACAGCCACCCACACACACCTACAGTGCACACACAAGCCATGCACAACTGCACATGCACGTACACTCCTCCACAACGCTCCATAGAGAAGTAAACAGAAGTCTGACATTCTCTTGCATCATGTGCCTCAAACGCAGGAGAGAAGAAGCTAAACAAGCTGTGACTGTGACAGCCCTAAAGTTAGGTGGCTTTACTCGAACCAGCCTCTGCTTCTGAGTCAAAGCAATTTGCGACACCCTTCCAGACGGTCTACAGTCAATTGGCAACAATTTTGATGTAAGCAGAAGAAGGAATTAGTTAAATGTTTAGCATGGTTACAGTTGGAGAAACCACAATTGGACGCAGCTAAACACCTCATAGAGAGATAATTTAGTGAAAGGTCTTCTGGCTTTAACATAGTCTGGTGACCTCCAAGAAACCAGCACACACACTGCATGTGCTCTCCACTCAGTGCAGAAGAGTTAGTGGCTGGGTGTCTAAAAAAGTCTCTGACACAAAAACCTCACATGAGGTGCCAATGTTCTTTGTGCTATACAGCATGTTCTGAAGTCTAGATCTTTTTGAATGTAGAATTTTTGTTCTATTAATGTTGATAGCAAAGAAAAGGTTTAGAATGGTGGAAATTTGGAAAAAAAATTAATAAATAAAAAATGCAATCTGGAAGTGAAAAAGTTTTAAGAGTAACTTTGCTTTTTTCTCAGATAAATTTTTCCCATGTTTTATTTTTCTAGAAATCTTTTTTTTCTCACAAAATGCTTACATATTTTATATTTTCAACTGTATCTCTTTCAGATTGAGTTTGAAAAAATGTAATTCATAACAATGAACTAGGAATGAGAAATCTGAACAAATTGAATCTGAGAAAAAAAGTTTATTCTAAAAGTTTTTTTTAAATAAGTTTTTTAGTTTCATTTTTGGATTGTATTTTTTTATTTCCATTTACAAAAAGTGTTCTTTGCTTGCAACAACAATGGAACAGAATTCAGTCCATAGATCCAAATCTTGCAGTAATAAAACATCAATCATAATTCTTCAAGTGAACTCCATATTATAGAGGTTATTTTGTTTTCAGCAGATAGTATCTAAGTGTAGGTTCAGGTTGCTGTTTTAAACCCTAGAATTCAAAAATGGGGTTCCTCAATCTTGACATCCTGTATCTACATTTAAGAATCTTCACTTGCAGAGTTAAATGTAGGTAGTCCTTTAGTTGCCTGTGTGATACAGTTAACCGTTGAAGACATATTGGCTTAAAACATTCTAAATTAGTGAATAAATCCCCACATATTCAAAAATGGTTTACATTCTAATCAGTGGCAAATGTTATAAGTGTAGACAGATAGCTTTTCTAATTGTCTGCTTACTGTAGTTTCACATGTGGTTTAAAAAAATAAAAAAAATAAATACCTTCTTGTTTTATATCTAGATTAGTTGCTGTGTGTGTGACAGACAGGCATTGATTAGCACAATACTGTAGGACAAGCAAAACAGCATGGTCGTTCCCTAAAGAAAGTAAATACGCTGAAATAAAAAAAAGGCTGGCAACACTTACGAATACCTTTCAAAACCATAAAAAAGTAACTTTCTGGACTTCATTAGGACTCCCTGTAATAGTCTAGAAGTCTTGCTCTCTGTGGCTCTCTTGCAGTCTTAATGATGAGCAGACATGCCTGAACATGTCATGAGACATGTTTTCTTTTTAAATACTTTCCTACACCTTTTTTGTTTACACCGAATTAAACTAAAATGTTGTGAACTTTGTTTCCTTTCATCAGTTATACCTTTCATGTTGAAGATGGCTGTTAACAATACCAGACAGAGCTTAGGTATGGTGTGTTGACTGATGAGAAAAAGATCCGATTGTCTAGATCTTGACTGGGTAGAAAGCGCTTCAACACAAAGTGTGGTAACTGTGAAAGTACAGCAACTAGCTAATTATTAGTCACTACAGTGCTGAAGTCGAAATCAGTGCTTAACTAAATGGGCATGTCACTGGTTTTTTGTGAGTCTGGATCACATTTAGTCATAACTGATTCAAAATACAAAAATCTGAGAGATCAAACGTGAACCGAACCATCTAAAGACTCATACTCCTTAAAACGTTAATCGAAACTTGTGAACCCTATATTAAATTTCTAAACACCAAGAAAGCTAGTCTAAATTTGGTCAGAAATATTGCAGAAATAATGTCTTGTCTGTTGGAGTGGATGTATAGTTAAACCGCGATGTCAGCAGTAGTGTATTATAATAAATTGAATGTACGGTATATGAGAGGTACTTGTTTAAACCATTGTAAAGACAGATACTCTACTACCCCTTAAACTTTGTAATGGTATTTTGAGGCTGTTGAGCTAAGTCGTGCACAAGAGAGAGAGAGAAAAAGGTTAGTTGCAGTGGATCAATAAAAAATGCAGTCAGTTCGAGTCTTTTATTTACTCTCAGTTCACAGGTCTGCAAACGATGTGACTGCAGTGCAGTGCTTAATAGTCTCAAACCGATGTAGCAGAATTATTGGTAGAATTCCATACAATGTATGAATACTGATGAACAAAAATAAAAAAAAAAGCATCCAAATTGGAGCAGAAACAAACATTGACAGAGTGAGTTCATAAATGCTTTTAACTGTAGGAGAAAATGCAGATGCAGCTGCTTCTTTTGTACCCTCCCTGCTGCCCACCTTAACCATCAGGGCATTTCTCCTGCCCTACTATGGGGGATTCTTAGAGCAGGTTTTGGTTTTTCACCCCTCCGGCTACAACCCTGTATATATGCTCTCAAGTGCTCTAACATTTATGTCTAAGTGCAATCCCCCTTCCCCCTGCATATGTCCTGTGCTTATATAGAACTCACAATACCTGGTAATGTGCATGCATCACAGACCATGTGCATCCAACAGCACTCTCAAAGATCGACCTAGATGTTCTACAGTATCTTTATAATGCAAGCATGAGCAGGCACCAATACCCTGACTCATTTACAGTATATTTGATGAACAGCTCACAGAGCGATATCAGCTGAAACGCTTTTATTTCCCCCTCCCCTTCTTTATGTTTTTTTTTCTATTCCACAGTATGTCTCATAAAATGCACAGTGGTTATTGTGAGAGAGCTAGAGTTCAACAGCCTCACAGTCTCCTCTAGATGCAGCATCACATCCTATCTAACCTTACTTTGTGCTGACACAACCACATTCATTCCAACACCCTGCACATGGAAATGGACATTAATGAACCAACCAAAACATTCCAACACACTGACACTTATTACATCAAGCGTGTGCAGTTATTTTCGCTCAGCAAGTTTTTCCCTTCAGTTTGACCCATGCCAGAGCTCCAAAGCCACTCCATGAAAGCCAGCAGCTACGTTTACCTCCATTACTCATCTCACGCCTTCGCTTCGACTATTTTATCTTTTTACTCCGGTATGTTTATACCAGGTTGAAAAGAGTTAAGTGATAAGCAACATTGCTCATAGGCTGTAACTATGTTTGCATTTGGTTAAGTCAAAGAGCTAGTGGAAATCTTTATTTCACAATTTCATCACCTAAGAATTGACCAGCAGTAACCTGAAACTAAAGGCAAACTGTGCTACATCCTTACACAGGTCTGCAAAAGCCATCTGCAGCGATGCTGAAGAGAGGAAGCTCCCCAAAGGTTTTGTTAGTGGAAGCTGATCCAAAAAACCCTCTGAAAGCGCTGAGGTTCAGTGATCCTTCACTACTTTCTTCTTTGGCTTTCTGCTATTTCTTCTTCCGTTTGTCATCCTACCATATTTGGTAAGGTAAAACTCCACACAGGGTGGAGAGAGGAAACAACACTGCAGATAGAAAGCCCTTCCGCTGGCATACCTTTCCACCCTAGCCATGAAAACATGTCAAGCAACTTTAAATCAGAGTCTGGGGGCATGCTCTCTGCAAAGTGAGTCACTTCCTGTTAGATCTAAGTGTGCAACCCCAGAGAGGATGACGTTAATGAAACAACAACAAGAAACGTCATGAATGTAGAAATGTTTTTAGATAGATAGATAGATAGATAGATAGATAGATAGATAGATAGATAGATAGATAGATAGATAGATAGATAGATAGATAGATAGATAGATAGATAGATAGATAGATAGATAGATAGATAGATAGATAGATAGATAGATAGATAGATAGATAGATAGATAGATAGATAGATAGATAGATAGATAGATAGATAGATAGATAGATAGATACTCAGTCCCATGTTCCTTTGTGTTTTTTTCTTTTACAAATTTTACTACTGTTTAACACTATTTGTTGTTGCGCAACACTTTCTGCACTTTGTCTCTCTCGCAGTCCCTAAAAAACACACGCTCCAGAACTCTTTGGACAGCCTTAACTCAATTTGGTAAACAAACGTGGACTGGAGAGCTGGGTCAAAGGTTGCATCCACAAGAGGAAAACACAGAGAGAGAGAGAACACTTTGTCTTTTTGTCTGACATGATGAAATAACAGCACAGAGACTTGAATTTGTAGAGTACAATCGTTAAAACTTACAGTGCTCTGTCGAAATTTCAAATACCGTAGTCACAGTTAAATAAATTATTATTCCATGTGTAACAGGGTACATATCGGTGCATTTTCATTCAGAAAATCAAAGACCAACTTCATCTCCATGGACACCAGATGCTGGAAGTGCCCTTCCTCTTTTATACTACTCTCCTTTCTTCTTCAGTGTCTTTCTATAGTTACAAAAGGAATCCAGCAGTATAGTGTAGTACACTGCAGTCTATCTGTGTTCAATGCAGATACGCTCCATAACCCCCCTCTCGGATCGATGAGCAGTCATTCAATATGTCAGTAGTTAACCCAGCTGATTAGGGAGTATTTCGGGAAATTCAATCCCCATGAAAATTAATCGGTCCCTATATGTTGTTAGTACAAACACACTATAACATTTTGCTTAAAAGAGTCACTCAGGTCTGCATGTGTGTTGTGATTTGTGACCAACAGAGAATGTCTTCAGAGAAGGAATCTCACCTAGTAATTAAAGCTCCAAGGCAGAGCAATGTTGATAGACTGATAAAGTCTTTCTGTTCATGATTGGCTTTTATAGTTGACTTCCACAAACACAAACCTGCACAGATCTCTATCACATGTCCTTGGACAGTGCTGTGGTAAAGCTAGTTGTGGCTAGCTAGATGAAGCTGTTGGGAAAAAAATAAAAATAAAAGATGTGTGCTGCATCATCCTGTTGAATGAATTAGGTGTATTTTTAAACATGTCCATCAAGTGAGGCATATTAAAAAAGTCGGTTTATTAGATACTCTTAAGGCTGGAAACTCTGCCATACACACACAAATATCTGTCAATTGCTTGCAGGGTTGCTTAAAATTTATTATAAATATCTAGACGCAAGCTCGCCATAAAAGTTTTTATGATGCTATATTTGAGATATTGTTTCCTTAATATAAAATATTTACAAGGCTCTTGTGAGCACTTACACAATTCATTAACTAGCACCTATTTCAAGCACCATGATGTACGGCAATCGTTCAGATTAATTGAGTGTATTAATGTTATTGCTAAGTTTGGACCAGCGGCTGCTCAGATGGAGAAACAGCTGAAGGGATGCTCAAACCTGCTATCAAACAATCTAGACTAAAAATAACAATCTTTATATATACAACCTTGTATATTACATGTTAACACCAGTTTTAATCTGTGACTAAAACATATCTTCCTTATATAATTTCTCAGGACAACCAAGATTTGGTTTTGATTTGATCCTTCTTTAGTGTCTTCATTTAAACTGTTTTCTAATTTACTCCAGTTATTTTATCTCTGATCAATGCACAGATCATATCTATAAAAACCCCAGGCAATAAAAAAAAATGTCAGTTATCATGAAAGCACTAAGTCTTTTGAAACAGTCATCTGCATAATGTTTTGCTGAATCTGTAGAATTCTTCCTGAATGGAGTTTTATATTGTAGATCTAAGTATTAAAAGGTTTATTTAAAGCTACCTTTATGAAAAGACAGTCAAAAGTCATTGTGTAAGATCAACGGATTGATAAAAAAAAATGCCCTAGTCACATTTTTAAAATGACATGATTAAAAAAGAAACAATTATAGAAGTAAGAGAAAAGTTTCAAGAACAAGTTATTTTACGGTTTCTGTTTAGTGACTTGCAGTTTCTAAAATTGCATTTTCCTGGCTTTTATAACCGCAAACTCATTATCAAATCGACTAAGGGAACGAACACAGAAAGTCATCTGAAAGAGCTTCAGCCTGTTTGTGTCGTCTGCACCTGTCACACAAATGTTAGCTGAAACCAATGCTTGCATAAACACCGACTGATAGCTGAAGTAAAGTCCCAGTTTTCTGTGAAAAAGCCATTATAAGCTGTCCCCTTCTCAGCCTCAAAAACATGCCTGGCTTTGTCAACTCAGAATGTGAGAATCCTTTGAATACAGGGGAAAACTTTATTAGAAGCTTTGTTTTATTGAATCAAAATTAAATTAGCCAAATTCACTTGATTAGCTCTGATTGTATAGTTTACACTCAGAGTAAAACAATACATCAAGCATATAAGATTAGATGACCCTCAATATAAGGAGATTATTTGACCTTACAAAGAAAGCAAAGGGTTAAAAATCAACAAAAGGTGTTTCAAAGATTCTGTAGCCAATCTAGACCATGTTCTATGTTTACAAATACTATATTTCCATTTACATAAATGGAATATAGAGATAGAGAATATAGACTAAGTATGATTCCACATTCCCAGACCAAGTTTAAGCATTAGTGCTGCCCAATCAACTTTGCAGTGGATTGCACCCTCATGGTTGCCCTAGAGGAGGTAAGCCCTCATCACTCCTTTGTGCTTGGCCTGGCCAGGTTCAGCAAGGATGAAATGATGAACAGGTGTTCAGCAACAAACACCACCCAGAGGCTCCAGTGTAAAGTCCCAGCCCTGCCATACCGGTGTGACATCAGGTGCCTTGATTTTTGTTGGTCTCAGACTGGTCGGCCTCCAGTCCTACCCTAAACCTATGGTCATGGCATGAAAAGCTACTGAAATGGGCTTTCTCTTTTCAGAGTAGCTGGGCCCTCCCTTAAGTAGGGTGAGGAGTTTTTCTATCAGGTATCGGCTCTGTGTAGAGCCCCTTCCCTCCACATTGAGAGAAGTGGTTAAGGTGGTTTGCACATCTTTTTTTGATGCTCCATGGATGCCTCCTTTAGGGGATGTTCCAGGCATGTCCCACCTGGAGGAGACCCAAGGAACAACCCAGGACAAGCTATAGGGAATATGTCTTTCAGCTGGCCTGGGAGCACATTGGGCTCCCCTGTGTAGAGCTGGAGGAGGTGTCTGAGGAGATGAAAAGGGTTTGATTTGATTTGTTTTTTTAGCTAGTTGCTGCAGAAGATCACTGTCTGAAGTTTCCCTGATCAGTGACCACTGAAGCACCTGCAACGTGTCCAAAGGGGCAATCTAAAAACAGTGATAAGAACTTTGCAGATGTTTGTGGTTGAAAAGCCTGACAAGATTTTTGATCAGAAGGTAGCAATAAATGGTAACTATATACTTTGGTAACTATATCCTGTCTCACTTTAAAATAAGAATCCCACATATAGATGCAATGTGTAAATGTTAACACCCCTCCTTTTTATATAGAGACTTTTAATATTATCTTACACTTGATTTAACCAACAAAGTCACATACTGGCACCAACTAAATGGGTCTATGTCACTTTGAAGAGAAATATTTTACAGCTGCAATGAGATATTTCTTCGCGCTACTGTTACACCTGAAAACCTCAAACAGTTTTACATGTTAAATTAATTCACATCTGAGTTTAATAAAAAAAAGATTAGGAACATCCACTGATGCATGAACGGCAAAATTACTTCATGTTTGGTATAACATGCCAAACAAAATAATCTTGTGTATATGTTGAGGAATTCTGTCTGCCTAACTGGAAAATTTGCACAGAGAAAATTAGTTGAGATCAAAAGCGAGTGCCATTATAGATAGGCATCTCTGACCTCAAAGAAAAACCTAAGTCTTTGTTAGTTATCGAAATGTTAGCTTCATAACCATTAAGATTTTTAATATAAACTCCTGTTTTTTTTAAGTCTTTTTAAGTAGACTATATTGGAAACACTGAAAATATGCTGGCTTAAGCAGCTGTATTGAGCTTACCTAGCACACATCCACCACCTGCTGCTGCACATTGCCAATCAGCTTGCTGGCAGAGGGCAACCGTAGGTTTCTCAAGTAATGAAAAAAGGGTTGTGTGGAAAAACATAGACATTCATTGCATGAAAACAGAAATGCCACTTATCACTTTTGCTCATTTTATAGATTTTCATTAACAACAAATGATTTGATTTTGTAATAAAAATACCACAACGCTATAAAAGCAAGATATTATAATGTAAACCATGCTTAGCACTGAACATCAAGTGCCCGATAAAAACATTTTATTTTAACAGTTGTTTGACAACAAAAATCGGTTAAAATTGCGATAACAAACATGCTAGATTACCTGTTATTATCTGTCTGTTTATTACTACAGGACAATAAATAGACAGAACCAACTTCCTGCTGCGGTGACAGGCAGTCCTTAAAAACATTTGAGCAATGTATCAATGCACAAAC